TCCGCCAGCCCCCATGCGTCCGTCTGTCCCTCTCCTTTGCCATTCCTGCTTCCATGCTTTCCCGCGTGTTGCTGCCTTCCTTTGAGCTTCTAACTGCCACTCACCGTGCTGTTTAAATCTGCCCTCCTCTCTGTTGGCACCCACTCCTCCCCACCACTTTCTTTCTCCTCAGTCCCCTGACGCTTCCACCATGTTGCAGGACAGCCGCACCCGGGGCCCGCGGTTCTCACCGCGATGTTTGCTTCTCCTGCCCTCCCACTGCAGCCCCTTGTGGTCCCTGCCGGTTCGTCGGCCCAAGTCCACTCCGGTTCGTTCCTCTCGTCCTTTCCAGTTCCTTGGAGCGTCCCTCCTCCATTCATAGCTCAGCCAGGTGTAAGGAGGTGCCTTGTTTTTTGAGTCCGGCTCTGTTTTGGTTTTGGCGTTTGGCCTTGTTTTCCTGTAATTTGTTTTTCTTTCTTTCTTTTGCCAAGCTTTGGCCAAAAGGCGTTTGGAAGTTCAGTCACTAAACAACTGCTAGTCCTGACTTTTCCAAGACAGCCGGAGGCTTCCTGAGCACAGCTGTGCCTCCTGCTTCCACTCCATGGATGGGCGCAGACACCGGGCTATTTCCACGCTTGGTGCAATTCCGTTGGGTTAATGAATGCCCAGCCAAGGAGTCCTATTTCCCTAGCGTTGGCTGGATTCAGATTGAGCCACTAGATAGGTGCCTCCCACCCACTTCCCTTTAGAAGGTCCTGGAGAGACCACCCACTAACCAGTGGTCCCCTTTGAAGGTCCTGAAGATGTCACACATTACCCTAATGCCTGGCTTGCTATCTTGGAAATGTGCTGGGCCTAGCTAGCCAACAGTTGGAGGCCAGGTCCCGACATTGCCAGGGTTAGAAATGTCTGTCAGAGGCAATCAGGTTCCAGAGGACTGGAACTTCTGATTAAAGACTCTGGGATGCCAGCTCTCTAACCTTTTGCTGTGTGTTTTCTAGATGGGCAACCAGGAGTTTGTTTGCAGGGGAACGTTTCAGTACTGCATCCTGTCTAATTGGCCTAGATTTTACCCGCAGACAGTAAAGAAGCAGAAACTAGTGTTGTTCTGCAACTCTGTCTGGCCCAGGACATTCTGGGTGACCGGGAGTCCTGGCCAAACACGCACCCTCTCCCTCCGTACTCTAATTCAGCTAGGGCTATTCCGCAAGGGGATGGGAATGTGGACAGAAGTCCCCAGTGTCCAGGCATTTTTCCTCTTGAGAAACACTAAAGACCTTTATTCCAAATGTACCAGTCTAATAAAAGGCCTAGTGCCTGGGGCTGAGAGCCTTTCAGGCCCTAGGCCAAACACACGGCCCCCTGATCTTGAGCCTATAGAACCTGAGAAGGTAGAGGGCCCTGCCAAAATTCTGCTCTTAGTAAAGGCCGCTTCAGAACTTGGTCCTCAGATGATTCATAAGCCTTTCACCCGCATTGAACTCAAGCACGTTAAGAGCCACCTAGGTAGCTACTCAGACAATCCAGAACAGTACACAGGTACCGTTCAGCACCTCACCCTGGCCTGTGACTTCGCTTGGGAGGCCGTAATGATAATTCCAGGACAGACTATGACATATTTTGAGAAAGAGCAAGTACTAAGGAAGCTAAGAAATTTTCAGGCGTTTGAGTATTGCTGAAAATGACCTTTTACAATACAGATAGAGAGCAAGAAGCTAAGGTTCAGAAAAGAAATGAAAAGATGCCAGGCATGCGCAGGTACTAGCTGCTATTGTTAATCAAAGCCCACCCACTGCCTCCCAGGTCTCAAAGACCCCTGCACAGGGTACAAAGTGCTGTGTGTTGGCATGTGGAGTTGCCCTAATAGAAATAAGCCTCCACGAATGGGTAGGAAAGAGGGAACCGATTACATGGAACTGTGTGTGACCTCCTCCCTGGGGGACAGACAACTGAAAAGTGGATGAAGGGAGATGTCGGACAGGGCAAGATATGACAAAATACCCATTTATAAACTATCAAGGGCTCATGCGGGAGCGGGGAGGGGGGAGGGAGGGGAAATATGAGGACCTAATGTCGGGGGTTTAAATGGAGAGAAATGTTTTGAGAAACAATGTACAAATGCGCTTTACACAATTGATGTGTGTATGGATTGGGATAACAGTTGTATGAGCCCCTAATAAAATGTTAAAAAAAAAAAAAAAAGAGAAGCCTCCACAAGGGCCATGCTGTCTTTCTAAACAAACCGGCCGCTGGCGAAGTTCTGTCCTATGGGGACAACCCAAGAGGAGAGTGATCTGCTGGCAAGTGTGCAACTTCCAACTGGACTGAAGCTGCCCAGTTGGACGGCCCAGCCACATAGGATTGCTGCTCCTGGTCTGGAACCCTGGGTGTGCATAGATGTGGCAGGTAGGCCAGTAGTGCTGTCTACTCTCTCCTAACCTCCTTCCTCAGACTCTAAACAGTAGCTTGACACTATAGTATAGCTTATCGTCTCTAGGGTGCCTGGAGACCACAATCCTCAGGGCAAGTAGAGAGAATTCAACAACACTTAACACTACCCACCTTGTGCCTCCCTGGAGATCTAGTCCTTATAAAAACTTGGAAGGATGGGTCCCTCAATTCCCAGCTCCAGCCAGTCTGGAAAGTTCCTTCCCCAGTAATTCTATCTCCACTACGGCGAAAGTTCCAGGACAGAGTGCGTGGATCCCCAATTCTCGCTCAGTTAAGCTGTGGAAGCCGTTGGAACTGGATCCCACGGACTCAGATCAAATGGAGCAAGATCAGTACACATGTGAGCCATTAGACGGCCTTAAAGGGGCATTTCGTCGGTATTCTGAGACAGATAAGTCCTCTACAGAAAACCTTACTTCAAATCCACAACAGTCTTTAAGCTAGTAAATGCTATGACACAATTCCTGTGTTTAAAGTAAGCTTGCAGGCTATGCCTGTCAATCCGGTGTTAACAATACCTCCAGAGATTGTCTTTGAAACCTTCCAGGGTGAGATTAACCCACACTTCCATGGACATTGCCATCCCATAACTTGTGCCATAGTCTTACCTAAACTGTTCACCTGTTTTGTCTGTTCCAGAAGTCAGCAGATAACTAATGACACTGAGCCAAGTTTGCCATCTCCAGGACTACAAATGCCAGGATCACCTCAACCCCATCCACCATGGGCCCCTAAGTGGATGACAACCCCTCCCAATAGATCAGGAAGGAGGTGGACCTAAAGCCCCAGTTCATGTCCATTTGTCAGCAGGAAGTAGCCAGAAGATGGTCTCTGCCCAGTATCCCCAATGATTTGGGTTCTTACTCCTTCAGTGGGGAATGACAGGCAGCCAGATTAGGGACAAAGGAGGGCTGTCTCCCCCATATGTCTGTGCTAGCGGAAATCGGCGGGCAGGGCCAGCCATATATAGACCCAGGCCACCTAGGCCCGGGTGGGAGGCCTACCTGGGCCCACAAACTAGGCACCAGCTACATGACATCACACAGGTGTGCCTAAACTCAGCCAATTAGATCGGCCAATACCCTCAACCACACTCCCCAGCCAGCGGGGATAGGAGTGGGTAAATGCCAGATTGAGGACAAGCCTCTCTCTCTTGTTTGGGTGCTCTCTCGCAGGTTGGGGGGCAGGGGTGCACATGTGCCCCCACACCCTTCCGGGCTCATACTCTTGTGCGCGTCTTCCTCTCCCTTGGCTCCGAACTCTGGGTTAGCGTTCCTGTCCTGGTACTCCTCTCCTCTGTTTTTCTCCTCTCCCGTGTTTTCCTGTGCTCCCTGCGGTGGCTGGAGTGGCCATTTTCAGTCGCTAGCTTTCCCAGGCCCCCTGCCACACGTCGCCGCACACTTTCAAGAGATACCACATACTTTCGAGACTGGGATTTACAAAAGTGCTTCTGCTGCGTGAACTCTTTTAACGTTGAAAAGCAAGAACCAAGGTATGCCATCTCAGAAACCTAACATTTTCAAAATACAGAAAAATTTTATAAAGCCATGTAACAGTTCCCAGAGAGGGGATGTTCCCTTACTATACAAAAGAATACATTGATATTTGCCCTCAGGAAAGGATCACAGAAGATACAGGTGTGATACCAAAGTGTGAAGAAATTAGAGGGTGCCTGGCTGTCAGATAAAATAGCATCTGGGGTCTTAAAGGCTTGTCTCCAAACAAGCATACATCTAAATGAGATGTCAACTAAGTCCATCTGGAAGAAGCACACCAACATCAGTCACCAAAGGATTGTAAATTTTTTATCTGAAGTCTTAGGAGGGATTAGTATCAGATCCTAAATGGTGAGAATCCTGTTTGCAGAAGGCTATGGATGACAGTGGGAGCCCAATATTCATTTGTGGGAACTACATAGGGAACAAGCCTCTGGTGATCTCCCTCTATCCATAATTGAGGGGTGGGAGGAAAGTGGTCACTAAGCAGATTCCACTGGAGAGATGAGTATAGAAGATCAAAGGGGTAAACCTGCCTTGACCAGTTAAAACCTTGTCAGTTGATCTCCCCTCTGATGCACACTGGACCTGATCTAGTTTTTACCATTTTCTGTATTTGTTTTGTTTCTTGTTTGTTCATATTGGGCTTATCTCAGATCTGTTATGTCAATGGGGGCCACCCTCTTGAATTTATCTTGTATGCTTTTTCTGGTATATGAACCCCAAGATTGATGACCTATAAGGATAGCAAGTAGAATAAGGGTTTCAGGGGGTACAGTGAGGGTTAGGGGGGAGGGTAAAAGGGACTCCTATATCAAGGAGTCCAGGAAGGAAAATAGTGCTTGGAAACGGATTGTGGTAGCAATTGTGCAATACTGCTAGTTATGATTGAATGATGGAATGATATATGTATTAACTTCCAATAAAGAAAAAAATAAAGTTAAGAATTATTTTAAAAATATTTTTATTGTATATAAAATTTTTTGTCTCCGCACACAACAGTAGTATAGTGAATATATGAGGAAGGGAAAGAAAGAGAGAATTCACTTGCCCTGGAGAAACAGTCAGGGTCAGGCTGATTGTGTTGAACAGAATCAACAGAAAGGGGTGTATGGGAGGGCCCACATTCCTGGGAGTAGAGGTCAGTTTGGAGATGGAAAAGCTTCCTATCACTCTAACAGTTGGAAGCAAGAGCTGTCAGAGCAAGTGGTGAATTCCCAAGCATCAGAGGCTCTCCCTGAGCCATTCAGAAGATGAACGAAGCCTGTCCGGTTTCCCTGACCACCTCATCTTCTGGAGGCAAGGCTGGCCGTGGCCAAGCCAAGCTATGCCCAGCCCTGGTTTTCCTTCTACGGCTTCTGTGAGCGCTGGGCCGCAGCAGTGATGAGAGCTGCTCCTGTCCCACTGCCATCTTCTGAGAGCATGAACGTCACGTCGCACCCAGGGGCGAGCTCCTTCACGGTTTCTTGCAATATCCGAGAGAAGCTACGAGAAAGAAAAAGAGAAATCTCAGCTCTTACATATGGTCTCAGCCGATCTGTGAACAGCCTCAATCTCGTCTGTTCCTTCCAGATGGCACCTCTGGCTCTATTTTAAAAAACAAACAAACTCGTGGGTGAGGCGAGCAGAGCTGGCGCACCGGGATCTGACGAGATGGCCGGGCTGCCCGCAGGATTAAGGAAACCCAGCATCTGTTGGCAGGACCAGTCCCTGGCATCGAAGCAGCAGCAGAAGAGAGCAACGCCCGTGGTTTTCGTGTGCTCATTGTGGCCTCCAGGAGTCCCCTCTGAGGGAGGGACTTTTAAACTTGAACTACTCCTTCCATAAGAACACTCAACGGCAGCTCCTAAAAGTACGTTTCAGGACCCACATTTATCACCCTAATGCAGACAAGCTGGGAAGGGTATGTTTAGGTATTTTGAGAGATAGTGGTCCCCAGCACTGCAGAGCTGCACAGCTCTGCTACTGACCCAGGCTTTACGTGTTCCCAATCCAGATGATGCATCAGCACAGGATGTAGCCGAGCAGTGGATGGCCGACGAAGCCCAAGCCCCAGAAACAGTGAGAGCCCGGACTAGACTCTGGCACGAATCATCTGTAAGGTGATCTGATCGGTGTGCATCACTTTGGCTGCTCTGCCAGGGCTTCTTTTTTGCTTGTTTGTTTTTCTGCAGTTAACGGACACAGTCTTAGAAACATGGAATAAAAACCCAGACAGCTTCAGTCCTTTGGTGATTAAACGCACATTTGAAAATCTGCCTTGTCCTGATTCACTGTTGGAAAGCATGAACCGAGGCTAAAAGTGTCATCTGGCTTGTTAAATGTTTAAAAGCAGTGACCCATCTCTGCTTTTATTAATGTCTCACCAATCATGGCTTAAGTATAAAGCACTGTGAATGAAGGTAGTTGTCAGCGTTAACTAAAGGGATGTGGGTGTTTTCTTTATTTTTTGAAGAGGGAGAGGTAGTTTTAAATTATGGGCTCTGTTCCCCTTTTATAGTGAATCAATTGCATTGGTTAAAAGCAGCTAACTAGTCTTTCTTGAGCATACACCCACTAGCCAAGTCTACTTTTATTTAGACACTGTAAGTGGATACATTTGATTGTTTGAACCAAAATGGGAACATTAAACAAACACCACAGCCTCACTGAGACCACTGTGTAGACTTCTTTCAAGAAAAAGCTTGTGACCATTTTGTATGGCTTATCTGGAAACTTCTGTACATCTTTTTTTGTAAAGTTTTTTTTTTTTTGTTATTCTGCTGTGCCTTTGTTTAGTTTATTTCATTTTCCTAATGTGATAATTGTATTTAAAACTAAAACTCTGATAGAACATTCTATCTTCGCCTTCTGGCAAATTGAATGGCAAGAGGAGGATTTTACCAGTGTTTTTCACAGACGCAGATATGTTTTACAATATCACTGAATGGGGGAGTTATACACTGGCCCTGCGTATGCATACAGCATCAGTATCTGACCTCTTCTTCTTCTTAGAAATTTAAATGTGCTTATGTCGCCTGTGGGAAAATGAAAACAGGGAAGAGAGTGTCTGAGGACAAACTCTCAATATTCCTATGTTAAGGAGTCCGGGAGGCCAAGGCTCCCATGGAGGAAACCTTCACATTTGTGGGTCAGAGATGCATCCCACTCACATTCTCCTAAGTAAAAGTTATTCCCCTCCATGTCCCCCATAATAATGCCAAACCTAAGGTGCTGTTTGCAAACACATGGTCACTGACTATACACTTGGAGGCCAACTGCTTAAAAGCTAACTGCCTACAGGTTATCAGCCATCTAAGACAATCAGACCACCCTAAGTAGGGACCACTCCCTTCTGATAAGGATAGTGGATTGTTCCCCTGAAGGAGAGCCCAAAGACTCCTAAGGTCAAGCCAACTCAGAGATGACCAAGGTTAGGCTGCCATCTCGACTCTAGAGCCCACCTATCTTGTTATATGTATTATATGTATGCTTTCCTATCACAAGTGTGCTCCTAGTGCCCCCCCTTCCTATTGTGTGTATAGCCCTAGCTCGTCCCCCTCCTGTTATGTATGTGGTTATCTGTAATCAGGGTGGCTTGCATGCCCCTGGAGTATATACAAGCCTTGGTTGGAAATATATTCGCTTTCTCTGCATGGACCAGGCTCCTGAAGTCATGACGGTTCCGGAGGTGAGCACTTCATGCTTTATCTTGTCTGATGTCTCTTTAATTTTACCCCTCAATTACACAACCGCCCCTTGGACCTGTTTGATTGTGGGAGCTGGTGCCCCACAGTTGTCTTACTAGATGATCACTGATATCTTGCCACGTGTTTGGAAATTATTGTTTGTGATAGTTTTTTGGTGCTAACATGGCACCTGCAAGAAGAGATGGGTAGAGTTTAGCCTGTCAATCAGGTCAAAGCTGGATGACTTCCTTTGGAGGTGCTAGAGAGATAAATGGCTCTCTGGAGGCTGACCCCTCTTTCCCTCTCTGCTACACCTTACTGCTAGTGAGCCACTTTGAAACCTGCCAGAGTCCTGTGATGAACTGTGCCATTGGATCCACACGACCTTGCACCCTCCAGCCTGTGATCTTCCTGCATTGCATGTGGCTGCGTGAGTCAGAAGAGGGACTTGTGGACTAGTACTGGATATGGACTTGAGTTGGGCTGGGTTGGTATTTTTTGCTGATATATGAAGCTGCATGATAGAAAGCTCTTTCTTACACACATGTGACACTGAATTTGTTTCTCTGGTCAACGCGGCCTGACACACTGTACCAGGAGATTCACAGCAAAGACACGGTTTTGATCCATCCGGAGGACTTTCACTGGTTGTGCCACACTTGGGTCATGACATTTTTCTTACTTCCTGTCTGAATACTTCATGTAAGACTACTGGCGTGTGTTACCAGGAAACACAGATCTGCCCATAATCATTTATTGGAGCATAATTAGTTTTCCTTATAAGACCTGATGAGGTAACCTCAAACAAGCAGCCAGCTGGCCTGAGTGTCACAGAACGGTTTCTTTAAGAGTATCAAATCCTCTGCTAATGACTCTTGCTTTCATTCCTCCAGTATTTGATACTGGAGTTCCTTTCATTCTTTATTTTGATATTTAGGGGGAAGAAATCATTGATCATTTCTCTATTTGACCCCTAATCCTGTTTTCCCCCCACCCCCTCCTAGTTAATTCTTTACTCTTGTTGCCCATCATAAGTATGTAAATGCTAACCTTCAGCTGGAAACTTTATGTCTCTTGCAAGTCAATTCTGACTCATAGCGATCCTACAGGACAGGGTTGAACTGGTGCTGTGGGTTTCTGAAGACTGCACGTCTTCATGGGAGTAGAAAGCCTCATTTTTCTCCCTCTGGCTCTATACAGTGTCTTAAACAACTGCTTTACTCCTGGGAGATCTCTGTCCTGGGATCCTGGGTTACAGTGAGTGGAACAGATGTGGGCCATCTTTGAGGATCAGTCTTTGAGAACAGTTCTGCAGCTGACTCTAACGCAGAAGCAGTGGGTGGTCTCTGACCGACCACTGCAGTTTCTGGGGGCTCTGCTGGCTCAATGAAAGGTGCGAGGTCTGAATGGAGGCACAGTAAGAGTAGGTACCTCCCTGACTCACACCAACAGGCTAGCGGTGAGACAGGTGTTAACTTGGGGAAAGGCAAAGATAATGCCACACAAGAAGAGAGAGAAGGGGCGAGGCTAGAACAAGGCAAATTACAGGAGGACTTGAGAAATTATTTGTAGGGGAAAGATGAGGCTTTCTACTCCTGTAATGAGTTATAGTCCCGGAAACCTCCAGGCCCAGTTCACCTGTCCTATAGTGTTATATGAGTCAGCATTAACTTGATGGCCATGAGTTTAGTTTTTTTGACTTCACAGATAAGGAAAGTGGGATTCAGAGTGCCTGGCTAATATTTCCACAGGACAGCAGTAAGTAGAGATGTGAAGACTTTGGTCTGAGCTGTCTGTCAGACACACCAGCCTAACTTCACCACCACCACGGGGCACTCGCTCCCCGTCCAGGGTGAGGTTGCACCATCTCACCTGTCCGTTGAGGAGGCTGTTTTGATCCCCCACACCCCTTGCTCTCCCCACCCCTCTCCCCGGACACTCACTGAGGGTGCAGCTTGTACAGGGTGCCATCCACGCCTACAGTGATCTTCAGATGTTTGAGCCCCTGATCTTCTCTCCTTTTCTGCACGATGGCAGCCAGGCCAGCGCCACAGAGCTGCGCTGCCCGCTGGGACACAGCTCCGCACACCTTCTTCACCACGATGCTGTCGTCGCATGTGCTGTTCAGGCCGAGATGCTTCAGGATGGCCCTGACCTGGAGGAGGGTCAGCTGGTCACTGCAAGGGGAAGAACACAGTCAGAACCCATTTCCTTGGCCCCAGAAGTGTGCTCCATTGGCTATCTGGTGGTGCCAGCCCTAGGTGCCCCAGTAGCAGGGAGGAGAAAATGACCCAGGCAATGGCTTAGGAGAAACAAAGGACTTCAAAGCTGAGATTCAGGAATTCCCATCACCTTTAACAAATACAGTATGAATACTTCACGCTTATATCATCTCACTGGGAGCTATTACCAATTCAGCAAATAGTACACCCTGTATCCATTCTTCCAAAGCAGAACCTCAGGTTCAGAGTCCCTAACCGTAGCAGAGCAGTGTCCAAACAGCCACATCGCACCAGGCCTAGCCCGCTCTGGTCGGAGTTCCTCGTGCTCGGGCCCCTTTCTATTAAAGGCTATCATCTTTCCTTTTATTGAACTGGTTTTGATTCTCTGCTTTCTCTTCTCAACTAGACTATATACTTTTTGGTGGGGGAGAGGATTGCTGATAGCTTTGGGCTAGGTACATTCAGTGAACAAGTAGATATATAAATATATAATATGCCATCTCCCCCTAAGAGAATGGGAACCTATTTTGATTAGAAGCAATTGCAAAGAAATATCTTCATTCATTATGGGGACTGATTGGCCTCAAGTCTATTGTGGTGGCCAACTGCTGTCCAGTGGGTGACACTACACCCAGCACAATGAAACAGCACCATCTCATGATCAGTTGTTGACCAGACTACTGTGAACCATAGGATGTTCATTGACTGATATTTGCAACCTGATCACCAAGCTGTTCTTCCCAATGCATCTTAGTCTAGAATGAAGTTCCACCGACCTCTGTTTAGCATCACAGCAGCACACAAGCCTCCACTGATTGATGGGCAGTTGCTATACTCATGAGGTACATAGACCAGAAATTGAACTTGGGTCTTCCACATGGAAGGCAAGAATTCAAGCACTGAACTACTATTGTCTTGTGACACTGAGTCTAGACTAGATCCTATTGTTTAAATGAACCAATAATACTTAAACAGAGCTCTTGTGTTCCAAGCTCAACAATATGAGGTTATACCCCTGATTGTCTCTGGCAATATTTAGGGGTAAAGTGTTACCAGAAGAGAGTAACTGAGAAACAGCCTATATGGCCATATGGGGACAAAGCAGATCAATTGTAGCATTGCCAGACAACAGAATGACTTGTAGATATTACAGCTTGTACTGTGACCTTGCACAAGGGTACTTGTACAGATGACCATGAATAAGATTAATTAATACCATGAAAAGCATTCATGATATTATGTTAATAAAACAAATGAGAATGTTTAATATGATCTTAAAATGTTTGTCCTTGAATAGAAAAAAAGGGTGAGAAATAAATTTACTCAGATATTGGTGAGATTAGAGACAATTTTTCTCCTTTTACTCATCTGTTATATTTTAGACTTTCTGAAAGCAATGAGCTATAGTCTGTCTTTCTGTCTGTCTATCTTTCTTTCTCTTCTGATGTTAGTAGGCAATGATGCTCATTGGCCAGATCTGTTATTTCATTAGGGCTTCAAAATGGTGATAATCTGATCCTATCACTTCTTCTGCATCTGTTAGCTGGAAAACATACAGAAAAAGAAAATGTGTTCTGTGTATAACAAGTCTTTCAGCAGGTTAATCGACAACTGGTGATGTGTCTACAAATTAGATGAAAGAATTCTGAACAGACTATGTACTGCATAATTTCAACTATAGTGTACTGTATAATTCCAGATATAGTACATCCTGGAAAATAAAATAAAATAAAAAGATGACAAACCCAAACCTCTTGCTATTGAATTCTATATAGGGTTCCTAAGCCTTTAAAATCTTTATGGAAGCAAATAGCCTTATTGTTCTCCCACAGAGCAGCTGGTGAGTTTGAACCACCAACCTTATGGTTAGCATTCTAAGGCTTACCCAATCATGCTCAAAACTCCTTAGAAACACCCCCCCCACCACCGGCCAACGAGTTTATTTGACTCATAGTAACCATATAGGACAGAATAGAATTGCCCTTGTGGGTTTCTGAAACTTTAAAAATATTTACAACAGTCGAAAGCAGAGAAGCATGGGGTTTGAACCATGGACCATGTGGCTGGCAGCTGAATGAGTAACCCACTACTCCACCAGAGCTCCGAAGATCAGTGGTTACAAAGGGTTTCAGGGCGGGAGAAGTAAAGATGACTAGTGGGGGAGCCCCAGGTCACTTGAATGGCAGTGAAACTACTCTGCCTGATACAACAGTGGTGGACACATATTATAATGATCTGCAAAACCCGTCGGACTGTAAAACACAAAGAACGAGCTATGTAACTGTGGAATTTAGTTGATAATAACCAATATTGGTTCATCAACTGTGACAAGTGTACCATCCAAAAACAAGAGTTTAACAGAAGAAACGGCGTGCTGGGAGAAAAGGGGCCTAGGGGAACTCTCTGTACTTTCTGTGCAGTTTTCTGTACACCTAAGCGGCTCTAGATGATAAGGTATACTATCTGTATTTTCTGCGCAGTTTTTCTGTACACCTAAGCGGCTCTAGATGATAAGGTATATTCTCTGTACTTTCTGCACAGTTTTTCTGTACACCTAAGCGGCTCTAAATGATAAGGTATATATTTGAAAGTATATAGGAAAAGAAACTCTCAATTTTTTCTAAGTGTCGGCCCGTCAGAGTTTAACACCCTCCCTGATTCTCAGAGTAAGGCTGGTGGTTCAGCAGCAGAGTAACTGCTTGTGACAGAGGAAGGAAGTGGCGCCCAGACTGGTGTGGAGACCCACCTCAGGTCAGGTCACACAGCACAAACAGGTCAGCCATGCACGACTGAGACGTACCCTAAATTCAGTGCTCTTACCCCAAGGACCGGGGCCCCCTCCATTTGACAACATCCTCTGAGACGACCCCTACCATTTCCCAAACAGCACTGAATGGACACACTTTTCCTTTTATTCTATAGGAATTGGTTTGTTTTTGTTTTCTTTTTTTAAACTGTAGAAATCAAAACATCCAAAATGGACACTTCTTGTGCATTGGGAGCAAATCTTTCTAGATGCAAATATTAAAGAAAGCAGACAGGTCCAGCTTCTTCACACTTTTTCAGGGACAACTTCTTTGTATTCAGGTGAAAAGAAAAGAAAAGACAGAGGAAGCTACACCAATCTGCCTCTCTGGGACAGGTGAAGGAGAAGTCCCTTCTGGAGCACAGGAAGGTCCAAGTGGGAATGACTTTCAACTTGCCCTTTGGCATCTGAAGCACAAACTGTAAAAGGATGCTGAACACACTTCAGAAACAGGCGGAGCTGCCGTTCCTGATTCTGTCACCATCTTCTCAGATGGTGAGCACAGCCCACTGGAGCCCTTCACTGAGAGTGCTGCTTGTAGCTTATGGAGATATTTTATTTTTCTTTCCACAAAGTTGCTTTTGGCTCATTGGCACTGGCCATAAAGACTCAGAGAGCTAAACGAGTGAATGTAAATTGAGAGAAATTCCAAACACAGCTCCCACTAACGCCCACTGCTGGTAGGAGAGCAGTGAACTGGACATGCTTATACTAGACTGGTGATGGTCAACACTGTAGCTTTCTTTTTATAAAAGACTGTGTCCATGGGGAACCTATACCTTGTAGCCAAATGCTTCTACTCCTAAGATGCAAATGATTGTGCATACAAAAATGTTAACTATGGTGCTACTCAGAATAGTAGAAATCTGAAAATTATAAGCCAACCCTTTTGTACTAAAGAAAATGTTTAGTAAATTATAGCTTTGCAACATAATAACATTATTCAGCCACTTACAATGATAATTAAACTAAAGCGCTGATCTGGGCAAGTTTCTCTTTCAAACAGGGTTTCAGAATCGACACTCACAAATGTATATAGGTTTGACAAAGGTTATTTCTACATACGTACTTTCCCCCCCACATATGTACTCATAAGTGATACACACATGTCTGTGAATAGAGTAGTGCATGCGGAGGACAAAGTTATGAAAACATCTCAGCCATAACCAAATGCCTTGAGGAAACAGGCTGCCGGGCTTCACTCGGGACCATCGTTTCAGGGGACACTACGGTCCACTGGCATAACCTAGTCCACAAGGACAATGTCCGACATTCTACTTTGCAATAGGGTTCTTCAGAGCTGTGAGCAGCCATTCAGAGGAAAGAAGAATGAATGAAACAGTAAACACAGGGAAGGAAGCGTTGCTACAATGTGTGCATTGCAATCACGGTCACAAATCACATGTGTGTTGAAAGAAAAACCAATTTACTCTGAAAACCTTCACTCTAAACACAATTAAAAGGTAAAAAAAAAAATTTTTTTAAGTATCCAGTTAATAAGTGCAGAGAGAATCAGATTACCACCATTTCACAATCCCCAGTAAAATAACCGGCCTGGCAATGAGCATCAATGACTGTGACTGTCCTGTGAGAGCGAGAGAGGCAGGCTGACAGGCACCCTGCAATGACGGGGACAGAGTGCTCTTGCACCCACATCGACCTCTAATCTACTCGAGCATTTGGCCTCGTGTGATTTTGCAGACTACAAATATACACAATGTACTAAAGCGGTAGGATGAGTTTCTTCAGTAAATGAATGCAAAGGAGACCAAGAGAAGGAGAGGGAACCTGTGGATTAAAAGTGCTTCATCTCCCTGGGAGGGGGGCCATACGTCAATCTTTGTGACCGGTCCCCCCTACTACCCCTTCTACCCTCCTAGTGTCGCTCCTCCCTTTATTGGTCCCGAGGGGTTTATCTGTTCTGGATTCCCTGTGTTTGGAACTCTTATTTGCACCAGTGTACATGCTCTGGTCTAGCCAGTTTTGTAAGATAGAATTGGGGTCATGGTAGTGCTTTTAAAAATGTCTGTAGATGCGCGGATGTGAAGGGTGGGATCTGTTCCTAATGCACACGGCTCGAGGCCTGGAGAAGAGGGAGCTGGAGGATAGATGAACTGAGCTGGGCCAGCAGCTGGTCTCTGTTGACGCTGGTGATGGCTAGAATGGGTTCCCTGGGTTCGCTTGACTCTCTTCTCTACTTTTGCACACAATTAAAATGTTTTACCAATAAAAATCCGAATCACAAATGAATACTGACATGAGCAACACGAAAAGTGATATATATATACTATGATTGCAATGAGGAAAAATGTATGCACGCATGGGCTGAAATGAAATAAAACATGTAAACATCAAAATAGTTGGAATTGATAGTGGACATGTGGATGAATTTTTTCCTGAAACTTTTTTTGGTATTACAGACACGTCATCTTTAAGAACAAAGCAGACAGCTTTAAGTTAACCTCTCTGTAATAAAGAACGTAGATGCCTGGTGAGGACTTTTTCCCTTCGGCTAAATGATCCATGGTCCCAGGCCGGGTGCAGCCCCTCCTCGCTGCAGCTGGTGAAGGAGAACAGCTTTCTCCAGGGTCTTCATGTTTTTATTTTTAAAGCTCAAATCTTCCCAACCCTCATGGGGGAGCCCTCTGTCCAAACCCGTGCCTCTCCCACAAGAGAGGAAAAGTGAACCAAACCTCACCTTTCGATCTGAGACAAGTACTTGGTTTCGAAGATGCCCCTCATCCGCAGACGCTCAGAAATGTGCCCGTGGAAGAGCAGCCCCTGCTTGGTCAGGTCGATGAGGATCTGCCGGACTATCTCACCCAGGTACATCCCACTGGTCATTTTCTCATACCTGTGGGAGGGCAGGAAACCAGGGCTGAAGAATCATTGCCGGAAAGAGCAACAGGGGGCAGAAGGCAGCTGCCAATGGAGGTGAGCCTACTGAGACTCCCCAAGCTGCAGAAGCACAGGCAGAAGAGGGCCTGGCATGGGACGATCCAAGCTGTAGAGCCTGTGTTGTAAACCAACATCTCAAATATAGGGAGCTACACGCCAGCCCCACACGACTGTTAGGAGGCAAGTCTCAGGCACCAGTCGACACCCAGCAGAACGTCCTCTCCTGACCACGGATCCAACTCCCCTTGGCTTTGCACTTGAAGAAATCCATTTCATTGGAGATGATGCTCCACAAGAGAGTGTTTTTAGACTATCTGTATAGCCCAGAGGTGCTACAAATGGTGCTTCGCTTTCCCATTCTGCCAGGCTGTGAGGGAGGGCGGGGTGGAGGGGCCTCTGTAAGTGAGAGCGCTGTGCCACACGTGTGGCTGACAGTGATGCCGCCCTTACTAATAACAGTGGTCAGAGCAACAATGCCCTGCCCACAGTCACGTGGAAATCTAATTGTAGCTAAGTTAAGACTTATGCTTTTAAATACTCAGAATCTCATCAGTCTAAGGAACCAACACAAGCAAATAATAGTCACTGTGAGGAAAAATAAAATGTGCAGCCCCCTTAAATCCTCAGTCTAAAAATATAAGTGCCCAGTAGACACAGGCACACAATTAAGTCAGAAGGAAGTTAGTCCCTTGAAAAGAGGCATAATATCCATATACCCCAACTGGGGTCCCATGTTAAGGACACCTGGCCCCCCTTTTAATAGCCTCAGTTCCTTTGCAATTCCCACAGCTGCAATGTCTTCCAGCTACAAAACCTAGGACCGAAGGAAGGTGCAGAACCACCAGGGTGACGTTGGCTTTGCCCACGGTCCTTCTTAGGCAATGTTTTCATGCAACAGTTACCAAGGGGTTCACAGCCTGGCCATCCATCCGATTTTCCATCTTCTCAACTTCTCACTTTTACTGCCTCCTCTCACAACACATCAGTTCTTTCATCTTTAAAAAATGCATATGTAATAAGACACTGAACTTGGGGAGAGTTAAATGCTTATTAAGCTGATCAATGGTAACTGAGACTGGGGGAGTTTTTCCAAAGATGGAGTCAGGACCACTCAACTCTGCACGTATGATTTCACCTGGTTGGTGCCCCTCTCAGCTATGTCCTTTAGTCCAGAGCCTATCAGCTTTTAAGACAAATAATGAAAACTAGCAAACCCTGTGAAACATGCTAGTGCACAGAGTAGAAAAGTATGGCTGTGGGCCAAGTCTAGCTCACCTCCTGTGTTCCTAAATACATTTTTATTGGAATACAGCCATGCCCACTCATTTACTTACTGTCCATGGCTACTTTTGTCCTAAAAAACGTGCAATTGAGTAGTTATGACAAAAACCAAATGGCCTGCCAAACCCAAAATACATATTATCTGATCCTTTAGGGATCAGATTTATTTAGGGAAATAAATTGTCAACCTCTGTTCTAGGAATGAGTCTAGGTAATATATTCCAGAAGGCATATCAGAATGGAAGTATAAATCTATTCTAATTTTTCAAAAGAACCATTCATAAGTTTGCATATTCTAAACATTCTAAATATAATATACACCCCTCCTCCAGGTGACTGTGATCCACTGGTGAAACATGACATCATGATTGAGAACCAGCACCCTACCAATCACAGGTGGGCTCCTCTACATCCAGAATCCTTTAAAAAGCTGAGAATGTTGACCTCTAGACTGGACCTCATAGAAGTCCACTCTGTTTGAGCTCATGAAGTCATGCTGTCTCTGCTCAGTCCACAAGTGAATATTTCTATAGCCTTTGCCTCACTCGCGTATACAGTGTCTGGTTATATTTAGAAAAAGGTATCCCTACTTATACCTGTAGGAAACTTGTAATGTATTGTTTTGGTTTGATGGCGAGTGGTAATAAATAGTGTCTATGGCAATAAAGAACCCTGGTGGAGTAGTGGCTATACTGTTGGGCTGTGATCCACAAGGGCAGCAGTTCAAAAGTACCAGCTGCTCCATGGAACACAGGCAGGGCTTTCTGCTCCTGTTAACAATTACAGTCTCAGAAACTCACAGGAGCAGCTCTACCCTGTCCTGTAGGGCCATTATGAGTCAGCATCCACTCCATCGCAGTGAGTTTTTGTGTGAGATGGCATTAAGATGTCACCCACGGAGTTCCAGCTAGATGACGACCAAGTAACACACACCAGAAATCAGTGCAGGAGAGTGACTGAGAGGGAAGTTCCACTCTTAGCCTTAGCCATAACCCTGCCAAAGTCTCAGCTAGTGCCTGGCTACTTTTGCTGGCCCAAGGGCTTTACTTCAACACAATGACAGCTTACCTCTGCCTTTGGGCAGGGTTTAAACCTCTCAAGCTCCACAGTCAAGTGACTGGGACTCAGCTATTCCTTTACATTTTTTTCCTCTTTCCCGCCACCGTCACAGTGGGCTCAGACCCCCACTCCATTTTTTTTCTTTTCTTTCCTTTCACATGCCACTGCTGGCCTTTAGGCCACTCCCTTCAGCCTAGGGCAACTCTTCTGCCCTCCACCCATTTAGAGAAATCCCACCCGCCTTCTGCTGCACCCAAAATGGCTGAGAGATCTCCCCTTCAAACAGTTGGGGAATTCCTACCTACTCTTCAAGGCCCTTTAAGTGGCTAGGGGAACTCCCGCCCACCCTTTGTGGTGCTCCACTCAGCTGGGGGAACCTCTGCCGACCATCCACGGAGCTCCACATGGCTGGTGGATCCCATGCCTGTCGTCCACAGCACTACACATGGCAAAAGGAACTTCCTCCCATCACATGGCCTAAGGCAGCTCCACCAACCCTCTCTAGTACTCCATGCTGCTGCAGGAAACTCCACCCAACTACACAGTGATCTTGCCGACTAGGGCAATTCCACCCACCATACACGGTGCTGTACACCAAAGCAGGCACACCCACCTGCCCTCCATGGCACTCCCATTGCAGCAGACAACCCTGCATGCCCTCTGAGGCACTCCAAGCTGCCGTGGGACACACCACCACAGCTTCCTGTGAGATAATTTAGTGCAGTGTCATCCTCGTGGGACCACAACCACCCAACCAGCGTCCTCTGACAGGACCATCCAATTTGCCTTCCAAATAACAGAATGCTGGTTGGCTAGGGAAAGAGTGAAACCACAGGAAGATAAAGTGGTAGCCCAACCCCCCAATGCAGTTAGCTGTAGGCAGGGCGAAGAAGCCTTCCTAAGAGTCTCTCAAAGGGAGATCCCTGTGCTCTTCAACTCTGAAAAATTGCACCTGGCTCCTCTAAAATGACACATAAACAGCAACCAGCCCCAACAACCTCAATGAAAAAACAGGAGAAATAAATGGCAATGTCAGAAAAAGTCCTGAACCTAACGACATGCATATAAGAATCAGATGTTGATCTTCCACAGAAAGAATCTTGAGAATGCTGCTTGGAGTCATACAGGATATGAGGAAAGAAATACAGAAAAAGGATGAAATGATAGAAAAGATAAAGGCCACACACACCAAAGGGAAATACAAGACCTAAGGGACGAGATAACAAAAGCCAGTAACAAATTCACAGACTTTGCCAACAGACTTGGGGAGGCAGAGTGATAACCAGGCAGACTTCAACAAGCGGGAACGGCAGTCAAATAAGATATTCAGAGAAATGGAAGAAAACCTGAGAGCCACGTGTGATAGTATGTAGAGAAACAACATTAGAATAATTGAACTATTGCAACAAGACACAACAAAGAAGTCAAGGACAAAAATAGGGATTTTTTGAATAAAACTTCCCCAACTTTATGAATGTATGAAAAACATAAAGAACACTGTTCTTTCAGGAGGCTGAAAGAACATTAGCTAGACTGAATCCCAAGAAGTCACCAAGGCATATAATAGTTAAACTATCCAACTTTGAGGGAAAGAAAATCATCAGAGTAGCTAGGGAAAAACAAACAGTCACCTATAAAGTTACCCAAATAAGAATATGCTCAGACCTATCAGCAGGCACTAAGAAGAAGAGGAGAGAGTGGAGTAACATATTCTAAAATTTGAAGGAAAATAACACAAACCCAAGAATACTCTACCCAGCCAGAGTAAGAGTCTTCCCAGACCAGGAAAAACTAAAAGAATACATTAAAACAAACTCATCCCTACAAAAGATCCTTGCCAATCCAGCATGGACAGAAGAACAACATTCACTGAGCACAAATAAGAGACCGCTACATAAAAACAACAAGGAGATAACAGCCCCCAAGATAGCATTGGCTCAATGATGGAAAGACGGCAAGAATATACCATAAACACACACACACAGACACACACACACACACACACGCCCAACACTGATAAGAAAGGGAGGTAGGAAAACACAGCGATCCAAATTGGTGGGGAGGTGGGTGTAGGAGACCTGGTAGGGCATGATCAAGGAGAATGTAACAAAGAAGAAGTGCTGAAATCCTGGTGGGGACTGAGCATGATAGTGGGACAGGAGGAAAATCAAGGGAAATAGGAGAAAGAGCTGGGAGGCAAAGGGCATTAATAGAGGTCTAGATAAAGACATGTACCTATGCAAATATATTTATACGAGGATGGGGAAATAGATCTATGAGCCTATATTTATAGGTTTAGTATTAAGGTAGCAGAAGGACATTGGGCCTCCACTCAAGTACTCCCTCAACGCAA